ATAGATCAGTGAGAAAAGTCTAGTTTAAATTTTTTTTTGATCATAACAGATTAGAATAATAATTTAAAAAAATTCTAATTTTTTATTTGATCGTAGGATCGCGATCAAATGTTTATAAGAGTTTTTAGTGGACTGTTTTTTCTAAAATTATCATTGCGTTCCTATATGAATCACTAAATTTTTAGATATAAAAGAATTTATTGAAGCTTTTGATTTTGATAATTTTAAGATTTTTTTTTTATTTTTAAAATTAATCAATCGATTTCATTAACTATTATAAATTAGTTGAGTTAGAAATAGCATGGTTTGAAGAATTTTTTTTTAATTTCCTAATTTATCCGTCAAAATTCTCAATCTATTTTTTTATAAGACAATGATTGTCGGCTATTCTGAGAGTTGTGATGTCTTCTAGGCATTATCAACTAGATGTTAGAATTTTACTTTTCCAGCAGCCTGAGATGATTTTGCTGTACGATTATATCACCAGATTCATCAGCTCATTCATTCTTATTTTATCTAAAAAATAATAAATAAAGAAGATGGCTAAAAAATCTAATTTTTTTTAATCTTAGTTTAATTCAATTAAAGGTTACTTAGACCTCTCAAAATTCATACTAAAAATTATGAAGAACATAGACTGATTACCAAATATTTTGAACCAAGCAAAATATTTTCACAACAATGAAATTCTTTAACGTGCATGGTAACAAGATAGAAAACAATAAATTTCACTTCACAGAAACATGACATGCAAACTTAATTTATCATCCCTAATGCACAATCAGGACAAAAGGACTCTTTCTTTCCTAAAGTAGATAATCATCGGTTGTCAATGCCAATGAATTTCTTTAATATGATGTATGTTTTTTTTTTAATATATTTATTTTTATTAACATGGATGTACTAGAATAGTTTGAATATATCTTAATTAATCTCATGAGTTCTGAAATTAACAGCCACGTAGAGCAAACTTTTGTTCATTAAGCACTGAGCTTGGCTTGTATGTCCATATAAATATTTTTTTTAGATTAATGTGGGTGTCCGGGCCAGCTTGTGCGCACCATGACTAATCCCACGAGCCCTGAAGTTAACGACCATGTAAGCCTCCAGTGACCATCATATGAGCAACCAAGGACTCGAACCTGAAACCACAGAGAGAGCAAACCCCTTGATCTCAAGTCCTTATCACTTGACCACCACCTAAATGGTTCACCATATAAATATTGCATGATCAAAATGCAGATAGAGCATTAAATGAAATCTGTTTCTTGCAGTTTTGTTCATTAATTTTTAGTGCCAAAAATGGCATCTATATCACATGGGATAGGAGCTTAAGTGTGCAAAGCCAGTCATGCTTGAAGCACCAATCTGCCAAAGCTGTGAACTGCAACAGAAAAGGTCACTTGGTCAAAAACATAAATCACAGTTTTCTTCTAAAACAAGGTGGGTTGTTTCAGAGGTTGGTGATATTAGTTCCTGTGAAGAGAACTTTGAGAAGCTTTTCAACAATGGAATGCTATGGAGAAGGAAGACGACTAAGAGGGAAAGTTGCTGCCGCTGAAGCTGAACAACCCAGAAACCATGTCTTACAGTCAAGAAATCCCAGGAACACTAACATGGTAAGATTTCTTACACACATTTGTCACTTGTATATTCCTTTTGATTGCCAAGAAAAGAGGAGATCATGAAAGGAAATTGGTTTGTTTTCTGTCTCTTTTTGCCTCTTTTACTTTGATGGGTTTTAAGAAGTGAGAATAACGGAGGTCATATGCTCAGTCATTATGAAGATGGAAAAGAAAACCTCATAATGCTAGTCTTCAGCTTCAGTTGAATGGAGGATTTTTTAACCTGTGAAGTCAAAATGATGGGAGCTCTGGGGCTCAAAATTTATTTTCAAGTTCCTGTCTTTTCCCAACAATCAAAACATGCTAAAATTGGAAACGGTTACTGCTTTTCTGATCTTACCATCCTCATTTCCCTGCCTCCACTTTGTGTGTTTTTGTGGTGGGTGGTAAGTTTCTAAGAATGCACTACTGTCTTGATTATATAGGTTTTGTTTACGTTGGTTTTAGATAATAGAAATGTTTGCTTGCAAGAATATGTTTCTGTTTTTTTTCCTTTATTGTTCTTTTGGCACAGTGGGCTCAAGTGTCACGGTAAATGTGTTAAATGTTTGATCAATTGCTTGATACTAAATTACTAATGTGGTGTGAGGAACTGAGGTTCAAAAAGAAACTTCATTCTGATAATCAGCTTAGCCTCATATTGTTAGCACAGAAATGCATGTAATAAGAGTTCCCTTTACTGCTCTTGCACCATGTCATGTGTGATTCTTGTAAGTATCTGTCGAGGAAGGATTATGGAGATCCTTTAGTTTCTGTTCCACATTATTAAACTGACAATGGTAGAGCTATTGAAGGCGTTTATCATGGTAACTTGAATTTAAAAAAAATGAAGAACAACATAGCAATAAATTGAAAATTTGAGGGGGCTATATTCTCTCTCTAGTTTATAGCTCCCTTCTGTCAGGTCATGTTAAGGATGATGACAATATGAAGAGGACTAGGTGGGGTTCTCTCTCCCATTTTCAGAAGTTATGTTTATAGCAGCAGGCCAGCTACAATCTCAGTAACTGTATGTGGCAATTTGTTATAGTATTTTTCTCTTTTTGATATTGACATTTGACGATGCATTGTTTAAGATTACATTTTGTTAGTATCTAACTCTTGAACTTTTCTATCTTGTCAATGATCTATAGGCTTAAGCATTGTATGTGCTGATATTGATAATAGTTACACTGACAGGATATCAGATTTGTTCACTAATATATGCTTGCACCTTGCAGGGTATGACTTGCGGTAAAAGGGCAAGGCCTGAACTTGAGGGGCTTAAGCAACATGAAAGGGAGACTCAAGAAGCAATTGTGGATATTTCTGGACAAAAGAAAACGATATTAATCAAATCTGAGAACCAAGAGCAAGAGGATGAAATGTCAGCCGTGAAAATGGGAGTTCCAAGAAGTGAGAACCTGAGACACGAGTGGGAGGGGAGGTTTAAGACGGAGCTCCCTGAGGTGGAAACTGCTGGGACAGGGACCCCAAACACTGTGGTGTCTCCTGAGACTTTGAAGAAGATGGGGGCGTATGATGAAGTCAATGATGATATACTGTCTACACTTTCAGGTCCCCCTCAAGTACCTGATGCAAGTGGGCTCACAGCAGAATTGGGCCAGGCTTATGCACTGGCGATTCCTGCAGTGAAGAATGCGCTGATATCCTTCCTAATAACTAAAAAGTCAGAGGATCTAGCCTTTATGATCAGTCAAGCTAACAGCGCATTCGCATCTCTTTATGCCCTCAATGCTGATTGTGGTTCGCTCTACAATAATGTGAGATCTTACATTCGTCACTACTCTGAATTCTCTACAGCTCAGAAAGAGTTACAGGAGAACATGGAAGCTGTAGAGCTGGTATCTTCTTATGAGAATATTTCTGATCAATCTACTGAAGCAGCAAGGGCTGTTTCTGAAATTGAGGCAAATCTGGAAAAAGCCAGAGAGTACCTTGCTCCTCTTGAAGCAAGGTATCAAGAGACCAAGGCCTTGCTGGACAAGCTTGAGGCAGAGCTTGGACAAAGGAGAACCGAGGTGGCTTACCTGGAAGCTGAGAAGATACAGCAGGAGGAAGCAATGGCTGAAACTGAGATAAAACATCACACTATTGCTGCACAGGCAAAGGAAGCCAAAGAAACACTTCAATCTATTCTCCGCCGACTAGAGGCTGCTACAGCTGCTATGGAAGAGACTAAAGCTCTCCTTTCCACTTCTTGATTCCCTCATACAACTACCATGTGTGCACATTGTTCAACTGATTTGGTTATAGGGACAATAGTACTCTCCTTACCTTCTGTAATTAAACCATTTTGGAATCTCTTAGGAATAAATGATGCAAGAAAGAGTACTTTCAACTTTAGACCCACCATTATTGACCTGCATGCTCAGTTGAATAGGAGTCATGCTAGCGATGTTCCATCATAAATTTGGTTCAGATGATTATGGTTTACTGGCTTGTTGCTATCTAATTCATTTCCTTGTTACGGAATGCACTTGTACAATAGCAATCAACTTCCAGCTCCAGAATGCATAGGCTTGCCAGTTCATATTAAGTGTAAGTGGTTAAACCACATCATGCCTGTTTTCAGACTGATAATTTCAGTGCTAAATTAAGCTAGTGGATTTAGGCAGCTCGTCCTGCTCTCTGCCAGAAGTGGAGAGCTGAAGGAGTCTTTTTGTAGGATAAGCAAATGGCTATGGAAACACTTTCTAGCCGTTGCAGATAATCCGCCAACTCCAGGTAGAGATTTGTTTACTTAGGAACTGATATAGCCATTTCCATTAAATCACTAGAGGTGGTGAAAATCTGATCTTCCCTAAGATTCTTATATTTCTATAATTTATGTCCAACAAGTCTGCGAGATTCATAAACGATATTTGGTTGCAAACAAGATAAAGCTCAACCCTTTTCAAAAGATTTGCAATTGACAATAATGAGGCAAGGTGTTCAGCTGAGAAACCACTTTGACTCTTTCTCAGGGTCAAAAAATTATCCTTGAGCACCCAAGGGTATGCATTAAGGCACTAGAGATCTGCAAGCCGTACCCAAATAGCCGACATTGTAGGGTTCTTTAATATCTCATAAGAAGCCAGCACCATTCTATCCTCAAGAACAACTAGTTCAAAATTATCATGTGTGCCAAACCATTCCCTGCAACAAAGTTAGGACTGTTTAGATAGGATCAATCTCTTGAGCTCTTAAAAGTGTTATTAGTGATATGTAGCTTTAAGCATTGTTATGCTGATATTGCTAATACATGTACTGTGTGAGAACTAAATTTTGTGCTAACTCGTGTGCATCTCTGAGAGTATTAGTAATTCTTGTGAAGATGGGAAAGGGAGGAGGTCCAAACTTGCGTAGACAAAAGAGGATTACAATAATCAAATCTGAGGACCAACGACAAGAAGATACAATATTAGCCACGAAGAAGGGGAGTCGAAGAAATGAGAATCTCAGACACGAGGAGAAGCGGTGGGTGAAGACTACGCTCTCCGAAACTGGAGCTACTGAGACTGAGAGCACTAATACAACGTTTCCCGTTGAGCCTGTGAATGGAACAGGGACTTGTGATGAAGCCTACGACACTCCGTTGTCTCCAAAGATAGAAAAATGGATGATGATATACTGTATGATGATATACTTTCTATGCTTTCTGGTCCGAACCACGTGCCCGATACAAGCGGGATCGCAGCTGAAATGCTCCAGGCTTATGCCTTGACAATTCCTGCAGTGAAGAATGTATCGGTATCCTTCTTAGCAACTGCAAAGCCAAAGGATGCAGCTCTTATGACCGCTCAAGCTAAAGGTGCCTTCACAACTCTTTGTGCCCTCGGTGCAGATTACCGTGCTTTTTACAACGCCATGACATCCTATATTCTTCTTCGTTTGGAACTCTCTTCTCACCAATTTATTGAAGCAGAAAGGGCCTTTTCTGATACTGAGACTCATCTGGTAAAGGCTCAAAGCTTGAAGCATAGCTTGAAGAAATCAGAACAGAGTGGCAGACCTGGAAGCTGAGAAGATTCAACGAATGGAGGCATCGGCTGAAATTAATAACAAAACTGGGGCCATTTTTCCCCAGGAAAAGGAAGCAAAAGGAATTATCAGAATCGTAGAGCTCTACTGTCCATTTCTTGATTTCTCCCTACAATTACAAGGGACGTGCATGTGCGCATACAATGTTGTACTGTTTGATCCGATTCTTATGTGATCATTGATGTTAACTTACTAGTTTTGTAACTAAAGCAGACACTGATACTAGTAGTTGTAGCTTTTAGAAATGTAAAGATGCTAGACATGGTGGTTCTAACCGATCTTGGACTTCAAGAGGTTCAACTGCATGGGAGGTATCATATTCTGATTAAAAACAAAACTAGTAAATTCTGATGAAGCAGCTTAAAAAAACATGTCCAGTGATAAGATTCCAGTCCATCTAAAACCTAAATGCCAATGATGTTTGGTTGTTATGGTGCATGTTATGTTGCTATTACTTCATATAAGAGAATGCAACTGTAGGGGAGCAGTGAGTTTTCAGAGAGCAATTTTACTTGATCATTGGCTTGCTACATCATGTAAATGATGCAGGCACCAGAAATCTGCAGTTATGTTGCAGATTGATCAAAGTAAAAAATAAATGAACTCCAAATGGGTTTTATAAAACCACATCAGAAATGAGCTCTGCATCAGTCTCCTCAAGATCACCTAGTTTAGACAAGCATGTATACCAAAGAATAGCCAGCAATCTAGGATTTCATTGTTTTGCTAATCTCAGATTCGAATACAGAATTGCAGATGGACAAGTGAATAGATAACAAAACCTTTGCCAGGTTCAGTTTCTTTTCCATCTGCTTCCAGCCAGTCAAGCGGAAACCAGGATTCTTGCATCAAAGACCATTACCTACCACCAAGTAAGATTGAATATGGAGCAATAACAACATTATCCTTTTCGGGCAAATCACAATTTCATTAACAAAGGAATTGAGAGTCCAAAAGGCAAATCACAATTTCATTAACAAAGAAATTGAGTGTCCAACCATCTTTCATACATGGAACAATGCAAGGATGAACCACTAGGGACAATTGACAATCTGAATTAGTTGACAAATTCCTGTTCAAGATGAACTTTACAACAAGCAACAACGCAGCTGAATCAACACTGGAATAAATACAAGGACTCTAATGGGATGCTACCAGTTCTCCTTGACAATCTTTAACTTCTCAAATATAAACTTCCCTTCCTTGTACTTCTGAGATGCCTCATAAGCTCTTTCATACTTCCAGCCCAGCACCTCTTGACAATCGGCACAAGATATATCAGCAACAGTGTGGAGACCAGTCGTGAGATTCCTGTCCTCTTTAGGTCCCACGACAATGTTCATCGCATGAGAGAACAGAAAGGCTCGACCATGTCTTCCCTGTGAACAAAATTATGAAGAAGATATTGAACAGAATTCTTGTCACTGCTTCCTATCATAATATACTATATAATTCCATTGTATAGCGGGGGAAAAAAACGGAATTACTTGATAAAAAAACTAGCAATCAGAGATTGAACTGAATACAACAATCTTATGGACATAGATGCAGGTATCATTTTTAGGGTTTCACATTATTGAAGAAAAAAGACACTTCATCAGAGACTCGCTTATATAGTAACTTGCTGATATAAGGGTCAGTTATCACCTGATTTTCTACATAGATTGCCATCAATGGATGAGAGAAATGCTATGAACAGGATAATCCAAATCATTTCTCTCACTGATAAAATGAAACCATGTCGATCTAAAGATCATTGCACAGAAAATCTATAAAACACAAAGAGCATGGCTATCAAATACAATGATCAGCAAGACCAAGTCAAGACATAAGGACAAGGAACAGCCAATTATCATAAAAAAGCAGCTAGAAGAAAATATGAAGCAACAATTTTATCAAAGATTCAAGTGATTCACCTGAAAAGCCTTAGAAATTACATCATCATGAAGTGAAACATGGTTTCGACAATTACAACAGCTGTACAACCTTGGACCCACCAATTCCGCCATTAATCAACAATTTCAAGGTTTAAACACCTTACTGATCACCAACAAAACACAAACACGAACACAGGAAACAAGAAACAAATAAATCCAAGATTGATCACTCACACGGCAAGAAAATCCAAGAGGAGATGATGATCAAGCAAAACTGTAGTCTTTACTCCTTTGTGATCAAAACAAGGCTAAAAAGATAAGTAAAAGACCGTAAAGCACAAGTTCCTTTACCTACAACAAATTCAATGATGGCCCAAAAGTCTGAAACAGGAAGCCAGAAACAACGTTAGCTTACTAGTTTATACCAAACTCTAAAGTTGAGTGTAGATTCCAAGTACGGTTATATTACATTTTTTAGAGAGAAAAAAATGTGGGGTTGATAAGGACAATGATTATTGATTGGCTTGAAATAGTAAACCATGAGAACATCAAAGATACCAAATTAATATTACCAAAAACACAGCTGTAGTTAAAAAAGAAATACACAAAGGCGAAGGTAGTTTTTTAAGCACGCAAGGCAAAAGTAGAAACTTCGGACACAAATCTTTTTTTTTTTATTTATATGGGGTGTTCGGGCTAGCTTGCGCGCACCATGACTAATCCCCATAGTCCACTGAATACCCTGCAAACCCAGTAGACATATAAGGCACCGCGGAGGTGACAGACGTGCACAGCAGGGCTCGAACCCAGATACAGTGGAAGGAAACAAGCTCTTTCCACTGCTAGGCCAAGTCCTGGTTAGATTCCAAGTACAGTTATACCTAACTCAAGATGTAGGTTATGTTCTTTGGTTGTGTATAGTATTTAGTGTGTCTTTGTTATTGTGCAGTAAGGCAAAGGCAAAGGTATTTTTTATTAAAAATAAATTAAAAAAACATTTTTAAAAAACGTACAAAACGAGCACGAGCCAAAACATGGTGGAGTTAGTTATCTGAGACGAGAACGCGCTGAAATTAGCGCGTGGAGAGCGGATTTATTGAGAGGATTCAATTGCTTTCGCTGTCGTTTGTAACTTTGTTGGCGCTTAGGAAGCTCCGTGCTTGAGACGTCACAAAGCGCGTGTGAATAGTACGCACACCTGAAATGACCTTATTGTTATTGTTATTTAAGAGTATTTGCAGCAGTGCCATATTGACTATGAAAGTCAGCGAGGAATATCCTGTATTATCGGAAACTCATACAGTTATTATTACTAATCATTATAATTTGACAATAAGAATATATATATATATATATATATATTTATTTATTTCTTAACCATTTAAATCAAGTCCATTGTGGATTGGGTTTTAACCATGTTATTTCTTATATAAATAAATAAATAAATTTTAAATGAATTGATAAGACGAGAAACAAATCCATTTATTATTATTTAAAAAAAAAACAAATCCCTTTCAATTTCTGGGATGGCAAACTTGTCACTGTCAGGAAGTAAGATTAAGAACATGCTGTGGGCAGAAATTGCTGGAATTGATTTGCTGATAACTACCACATCCGAGAAAATAAGAAACAAACCCAACATTAGTGCTCCCGAGTCGGGTCATATGTCAAATTTCTCTCTAATTTTAGATTATTTTTTTTAATAATAAATATTTGGGTCATTTACACATACAATTGATTAATTTTAGAATCCACTAAACATCCTTGAACTCAATAAATAAGTAAAATACTATAAAGATTATATGCATGTATTTAAAAAGTCAAACTCAAATGATAGAAAAAAAAACAAATTCCTTTTAAAATCACTAACTTACAACCTCGAGTTCTCTAATCTTAGATTTTTTTTAAATTAATGTGGGTGTCCGGACCAGTTTGCGCGCACCACAACTAATCTCATGAGCCCTGAAGTTAACGATCATGTAACCCTCCAGTGGCCATCATATGAGCAATCAAGAAGTGCCTTACCTGCTCACTGGGCTTGCAGGATGTTCAGTGGGTCGTGGGGATTAGTCGTGGTGCGCGTAAGCTGGCCCGGACACCCCA